CAAATTGTCCGCCAAAATGACTGACGGTGTCTCGACAACAAACTTGTGCGTCAAGCAAATTCGCCACACGCGGTCGTCCATCCAGGCTTCCTTTTGAACCGCATAAACATGGCCCGCCGGATACGTTGGAACTTCATTCGTCTCAATTGGTCCCCCAGGTTTTCCATTCACAATGAATAAAATGGGCAATTTTTTGCCTATAAATTTCTTGAGAATTCAATCCAATTTTTATGAATTTTGTACCTTCAGCGCGAATCGTCAATACTGCAGTCAAACGCTTCGAGTGTTTTTCAGATTTATCCACTTTGGACGAGTCTCCAATCAGAGCCCATGTAGACCGCGGCGGCATGTCGTAATAAACGCCCGTTTCGTCGACGTTGAGAATTTCGTCGTCGTTGTAGGTGCCGTAGTTGTTCCAAAACATTTTGGCAAACGTTGCTTGAATTTCTTGCAACTGTTCTTCACGCAACTTGGACACAAATGCAACGCGCTGGTCAAATCCATGTCGGGGGCATATTGCTGGCAGAGTCGCATCAACGAGTTGTAGCCATTCACATCGTTCTTCTTGGAGGCCGAATACACGTCGAGCAAATGCGGATGGTGCTTCTTCATCCAATTCAAAATTTGCGCCGCAGTGAGCACGTGTTCGTCTCGGCGGACAACCTTCATGAACGTGACCAGCCCTCGTGAAAAGGTCATGGACTCAGTTAGACCTTGCCCGCCAAGTGATCTGTGCTTGCCACCGCGGGTAGTTTGCATGTACAAGTCCTTTCGGGTGAGCCAGCGTTGAAACGATGACCGGGGAACTCCTTGGGTAATACAAAAGCGCTTGACATTGGTTGAGTTAGCCTGCTCGAAGAGCTCCATGCGGCGGACGCGGTCGAGAATAAGTAATGGCGGTAGCGCCAAACAGCCAGGATCCTCCTTATGATGGTCTCAGACACTGCAGCATCATCAATGGCCATGTCGTGGATAGTTTCCTCTTTGCGTATTGGCCGACACATCGAGACGAGCAGCAGGCCGCTTCATATGGGGGCTCAACGGACATGGACACGAACCACATGTTAGAACACCCGCGGTGGGCAACATCGGCGCACATGAGGCATGGTTAGTTTGATTGAGGCTCGATGCAGTCCGCGAGGTTGCAGCGCATTTAAATTCAAAGTGTGAAGTCAGCCGGCAAAGTCGAGTAGGCGGGAATTTGAAGCTAGCCAATCAGAATATCTCTTTTGAGTTGCTGATTTTCCAATCACAGAGATTATTATCCCAATATATCTCCACACTTGATTGATGGGATTTTACTATATTTGATTTATTATGTTTAACAGATCGATTGAGCATGTGTTCTCCTCAATCGAATGGGCAGCCCCAAATCGTCAAATCGGCAGACAATCGATCAACCAATCAAAACCCAGAACATTAACCAACTGGTCAATCAAATACTCCCTTTAAACATCGAATTAGTGTGTGACTGAAATTAGTGTGATATTGGACGATTCTTTTTGTTGGGTTTATTCTAGACTGGAGTGGCATGGGGAATGAATCGACACAACCAACTGTACAGAAGATTCGGCAGAAAGATTTAGACAATCAGATTAATATTGCAAAATGGGATGGATTTTGCTTGGAGGAACAAATAAAGGAAACATATGTTGAAGTGACCCCAAATTTGTTTAAATACCCTCAAATATTGTTTAAACAGAGTCTAGGGTTATTCGACAAAGGGCATAGATACTGCGATTCAAAGTTGTCGTCACAGATACGTAAACACAAGTCAAAAGCACGACTACTTGGCAAAAGCAGTTGTACACGGCTATTATTTAACGCTACAAAGGTTCGAGATCTAGGGATATTTCCAAGACTACATCTCAGTCGGGCCAATTAGACAATTCGTCCGCTTTTACCAATTTAACGTGAAACTCTCTTGGGTCACTCGAATGAGGTTCTAACGTTTGATGCCTCGAATAAAAACTTGCTCGCCAACGTCAGTCGTTTGAACCCGTCAAGCTTGTGAGATATCGTATCCGTGCCTCCAGAGCTCTGGAACAATCGTGTGATTGCTCAAATGTTTGACGCATTTTCGGCTCGCACTTCGATGAGACTTCCTCTGCTGTGGCCATGACGATGTTATGCGCGTCACCACTTGGTGAATCGTCAAAACCACCTGTTTTGTTGTTGGGTTGTAAGTTGCCACCACATATTTCAAGTCCATAGTGTAAGCCATTCGTATTGGGTTTTTTGAAAGACTTCTGTGTCAACACCAATATTGAGATACCTTTCATGCATTCATACAGGTACAAGTGTATATACGTATAAGTTCTATCGAGGTTGAAATGAACATATTTAGAGCATGTTCCAAGGTATTAATAATTTTCAAAATGGGCATTATCCAATCAAAACGCTCTCCCCAACTCATTCCAAAATTAATTTTTCAACATGGGGTATTTTGTCCCATTTCGTCCCATTTTGGGCAACTCAGCTATTTCCCCAATGACTGGCTAATAATGGATGCCCACTATCCAATCATTGATCCCAATCGCATTCCAACTTTTCAATTTGACATCGTGGACTCGATCACTGTCTGTGTGTTGCTGTCGTTGGCGTTGCCCTCATGCCCATCGACGGACGTAGCAACCGCGCCCATGCCATCAACACTGTTGCCGTACCCAGTACCACGTGGCAGCAAGTCAAGTCCGACGGCACATACTACGATGGATGGTTCACGCGCCACCTGCGCTGTACCCGCCACACCTTTCCGCGCATCGCCGACAACACTGTGTTATTGACCAATCAGCATGCATCTTAGTCTATTGATTTATGTCCAATCAATCATGGTCATATAATGGGTAGAAAATGGGACGAAATATTTTGTCACCCCATTTTTCGTTCTTTTCCAATTCTACTTGGAATAGACTCTTACTCTTATGGAATTCGTAGGGAGATTGACTACGATTTCATATTTAACCAATGAAAACACTCCTGTACAATCATTGGATATTAATAGTTTAATCACAAATCCATGTTCATCACGAAACACTACTGCAGTACAGGGAACGGACTGCAACGCCTACTTTGTCTTCGAATCCTACGTGAATTGTATCATTTGATTGGTTTCTAACATCGATGTACGTTTCGTTTTGAGCCAATCAGTGTGCAATACTGAAATTTTTATTCACACTACCTGACGTCAATTCATTTATTACAGGTAATTAAATTGTGTAGTGTGATTCACATCGCAATGGCTCCAAACACCAACAACATGGGATATAGAGAACAAGGTAATCGGTTTACAAAGTTGTCCCACATTGAAATATATGAACGGGTGGATGTTTCCAGACTAAGCGTAAGCGTTTGACGCGGTAGCTCAATGGTTAAGGGCGACGGCATCAAAACGATAGAGGAAGGGGCCCGGGTTCAATTCCCGGGCAGTGTCAAACTTTTTCCAATAATTTTCACATTAATCGTAATCCAATACAAAAAGGAGGATAACTAAATTAATTTCAGTGGAAATGTTTTTAACGCTGAAATTATTGGGCCTGAGAGAGAGCTTTCTCAAAACTGCGGCAGATCTCTTGGCTCGACACGAGGTCCCACGCGGCAATCGACCGCTTGACCAATGCCATGCGCTTTTCACGCGCGGTAAGTGAAAATGGATCATCATCATCGCCAACGATGATGTCTTCGAGCAGCTACAAATTGCGGAGGTTGCGCTTAAACGGCGCCATCACTCCGAGATCCAAGGGTTGACACACGGACGTCGCATTCGGCGGCAACACACACAGGTGAGCCCCAAGCTCTTCGTACATGATGTTGTATGACACATGTGACTCGAAGTTGTCCAGCAATACGGCTCCTCGATCCCTTCTCCAAGTACATCCCGGAGGTACGTGGCCCAGACTCGCTAGTCCATCCAGGCACGCTCCTGAACCGCATAGTGATGGCCGGATGGAAACGTGGCCAGCTCGCCGCTTTCGATGCGACCGCCCGGCACCCCCTTCATGATGAAGAGGATGGACAGTTTCGTGCCGTCAGCTCGCACCCTGAGGACCGCGGTCATGCGAAGCGAATGCTTTTCACGCTGGAGCGAACGTGGTTGATCAACTCGATGAGTCCTGGCGGGTCGGGAAAGACCTCGTATCTTCCACCAGGTTCAAGTTTCATGTTTTTCAAGTTACCGTCGTACGCTAGGATCTCGTGCCTTTGGCTGTTTGGCGCTACCGCCATTACTTATTCTCGACCGCGTCCGCCGCATGGAGCTCTTCGAGCAGGCTAACTCAACCAATGTCAAGCGCTTTTGTATTACCCAAGGAGTTCCCCGGTCATCGTTTCAACGCTGGCTCACCCGAAAGGACTTGTACATGCAAACTACCCGCGGTGGCAAGCACAGATCACTTGGCGGGCAAGGTCTAACTGAGTCCATGACCTTTTCACGAGGGCTGGTCACGTTCATGAAGGTTGTCCGCCGAGACGAACACGTGCTCACTGCGGCGCAAATTTTGAATTGGATGAAGAAGCACCATCCGCATTTGCTCGACGTGTATTCGGCCTCCAAGAAGAACGATGTGAATGGCTACAACTCGTTGATGCGACTCTGCCAGCAATATGCCCCCGACATGGATTTGACCAGCGCGTTGCATTTGTGTCCAAGTTGCGTGAAGAACAGTTGCAAGAAATTCAAGCAACGTTTGCCAAAATGTTTTGGAACAACTACGGCACCTACAACGACGACGAAATTCTCAACGTCGACGAAACGGGCGTTTATTACGACATGCCGCCGCGGTCTACATGGGCTCTGATTGGAGACTCGTCCAAAGTGGATAAATCTGAAAAACACTCGAAGCGTTTGACTGCAGTATTGACGATTCGCGCTGAAGGTACAAAATTCATAAAAATTGGATTGAATTCTCAAGAAATTTATAGGCAAAAAATTGCCCATTTTATTCATTGTGAATGGAAAACCTGGGGGACCAATTGAGACGAATGAAGTTCCAACGTATCCGGCGGGCCATGTTTATGCGGTTCAAAAGGAAGCCTGGATGGACGACCGCGTGTGGCGAATTTGCTTGACGCACAAGTTTGTTGTCGAGAC